CTCTCTAGTTGATGGCACAGCCAAAATTCTAAACTACGAAGACCACAAAGATTTTGGAAAACGGGAAAATTTCTGAAAAAAATTTGCAAAAGTCTAAGGAAGTTGAGAAAACTTATGAAGATGGTAGGCAGTGTGAGAAAGGGGTGTCGTACCAGACGAGGAAGCTGGGGAGGGGGGGGGTCGTGTTTTGCAAAAATTTTCCTTAGCGACAGGACGTGCTCTCTCACCTAATGTCCTTCGGCGCCAGCGTAGCACTTGGAATCAACGAAACACTGGGCAGAACCGGTTGATAGCAAATCATTGTACGGACCTTAGACACTGAATATTTCTTATCAGCTCTGATAGGAGCTTTCCCTTGTTCCACCGCACCTGTTCAGCCATGGGCGACCTGCTACGATAAGACAGCTAAGCATTTACTTCGAAAAGAGCACAGCGACACTTTATCCGAATTCAACAGAGTAATCGAACAGCAGAGGTAAAGAGATTGCTGAACAAACAAAACAAAATTCAATGCATGACACAGTGTATTGTACTCAGTTGAACCTTTCAGAAAGATATAAAATTTTATCGGGTAATGTAAAAAACTGACTATCAGAGAGTACCAAGAAAGTGTACGCACGTTCTATAAATAACAGAAAAAATAACAGCACTGAAGATATCCGCGAAAAGAAATCTCTTGATTTGTGTAGAATTAAATATTAAATCACCGTCATAAAAAGAATCGAGCTGACTAAAGTGTGCAGCAGGAAAACGCACAGAGATCAGAATTCCACTCCAGAGTGCCAGACACCGTACGGATTCTCAGATAGGCTGGACTAGAGAGCGACGTTATCGAGATGCTCCACCTCTTCCAGTTTTTTGTGACAGTGATGCAGGCGGAAAAAGGTGAACTGCGACAATGTCGCCATTTCCTGTCCCCGCCCACCCGTTGATCGCGAACGATGTCTAAGTTTGTAGAATGTGAATGTCCGCTTATTCGCATTACCGAATTCTGCGGTGTTTAACGAATGTCTCTATCCGCACATCATGTCTGACGTTTCCCTCGAAGTGGAAAGCGCCCTAGACGGTCAAAAAAGCGCCTGATTGAGAGTGGAAGGAAAAGGAAAGAAAGGGAACAGTGAGGAACGAATGACAAAAAAAAATGTTATCGCTCATACTTTTCAACTGGGACGATTTGGCGATGTGGGAGACTAGGCTATTTGAGGGATTGCGCGACGAGAAAAGTGTAGTTATCGATCTGGGGACTGCAGACTAAGCGATCCGCAAATAGGAGACTCGGCTGACCAATCCCGCGCCATGAGATGGAGGAGTATTAATCGGCGCCAAGTCTCCGGAACGGACGGATGGTTCAATCTCCGCAGCCACCAAACTGATACCTATGGAATTCTGATCGGAAATTTTCACCACCATATTAAAGAGCATATTAAATACTATCACGACACTGACACTCCGCCACAGCCTTCTGGACGAGCGCCATCGAGAGATTCTGCCACGCGACCGTGATTCGGTGCTTGAGTTCAGCGAGGTCCTTGGTTCCTCCGCCAGTAGACCACCCTGTTGAACTCCGCCCGAACCGTTAATTGAGGAGGTTTAGTTCAGGTGACCTGCTTAGATATTCCATCTTCTTCAGGTACTCAACGCCCTTCCATTCCAAGTAGGCAAGAGTTTTCCCAACGCCCTTTGATTCCATGTGGTGTCACCCAATCCTGTAGCAGTACAAAGTTTCCAAGAAGGTACGGGCGACGAA